AAGCCATTTGTCTCCATTCACTCCTATCTAACACACTCACACACACTTGCTGGAAGTCCAAGCCTCTCACCCACAAAACCACCTTTACCCCCCTCCCTTCAATCTTTCCAGGGACAACCCTTACCATGCCTTCCTTCCCCAACAAATTTATACACTCTCCAAGTCATTCTACTTCGTTCCATTCTCTCTAAATGACGAGATCACCTCAACAGCCCCTTTTCTGCCCTCAGACTAATTCTTTTAGTAACTCCACACCTCCTCCTAATATCCATACTATGAATTCTCTGCATAATATTTACACCACACATTTCCCTTAGACACGAATCTCCACTGCCTCCAGCCGCCTCCTCGCTGCTGCGTTTACATCACATGCTTCACACCCATATAAGAGTGTTGGTACCACTATACTCTCATACATTCCCTTCTTTGCCTCCATGGATAATGTTCTTTGTCTCCACAGATACCTCAGTGCACCACACCTTTTTTCCTTCATCAATTCTGTGGTTTACCTCATCCTTCATAAACCCATCCACTGACAAGTCAACTCCCAAATATCTGAAAACATTCACATTTCCTTAATATTAGCATTTATTTTGTTTACCAGGTAATTTTTATTGCTGACATAGTATTATTTCTTTAAATTGCACTAACAGTTATTGCAGATTTTACATTGAAAGTTATTTCTAAGCATGTTTATGGTTAAATTTATATTGGTTATATGCTACTGTACAAGTACAGTACAAGTGCATACAAAGTACTGTACAAGTACAGTGCAGTGTTTAAAAATTCTTTGTGAGCATTGGCTTATTATACCACATCTCAACAATGTGGGCTATATTAAATTTCACTACTGTATTCATAAATAATATTTTGCCTAATGAATTTATTCAATTTAAACATTACTAATATTTTGCTTTGGCAACTAATATTTTATTCTGAAATTTGATGGTTAGCATTTCTGTAGCTCTAATTCCTTTTTATAAAATCAAGAAGAAAACTGCTGATTTAAAATAAATGGCTTAGTACAGTGGAACCTTGGTTTTCGTATGTCCTGGTTTTCGTAGGATTTGGTTTTCGACGACTTTTTTTGTCTAAATTTTGTCCCAGTTTTCATACATCCACTCGGTTTTCATAGAGTTGACAATGGTCCGCACCAAACACGTCCTCCTGCTCATGCCCACACAAAGTATCCCACTCATTCTGACTGAGTCTGGCTTTATTTCTTGTTGAGTGAACATTACCCTGTGCGTTTGGATAACATTTCATAATAATCAACTGTTTTTTGTGCTTGTACATTGAGTGCGACTGCTAAATGAACCACTATGGGGCCAAAGAAGGTTCTGAGTGCCAGCCTTTTGATCAAGAAGGCGAGAAACATGATAGAATTCAAGAAAGAACTCATGGCAAAGTACGAAGTAGCATACTCACGACCAATCTTGCCAGGATGTATGGGAAGTCCACAGCAATGATCAGTTCCATCCTGGTAAAGAAAAAAGAAATCAAGGAAGCTGATGTTGCGAAAGGGGTAAATGTGCTAACGAAACAGAGATCGCAAACAATCGAAGTTGAGAAGTTGTTGTTGTTGTGGGTCAACGAAAAACAGTTAGTCGGAGATAGTGTTTTGGTGGAAGAGTTGGTGGACAACCACAGGGAAGAGCTAACCACCGAAGAGCTGCAAGACCTCCAGCTGGAACAGCAACAGACCGCAGCTGCGGAAATTGCTTCAGAGGAAGAGGACGAGAGAGGGGAGAATGTGCCTTCTTCAATGATTAAGGACATGTGTGCAAAGTGGAACGAGTTGCAAAGTTTTGTGGAGAAATATCACCCTAACAAAGCTGTTGCAAGCTGTGTCTGCAACATGTTCATTGCCAGTGCCTTGTCCCATTTTAGGCAAATCTTAGAGATGCCAGAAACAGACACTTCTGGACAGATTTTTTGTGCGACAGGGGTCCAGTGACTCTCAAGCTGGTCCTAGTGCCAGTAAAAGACAAAGAAGGGAAATAAACCCAGATAGGGCCTTGATACCTGAAGTCCTTATGGATGGGGATATCCCTTCCAAACAGTAACCTCTCCTCCCTCTCCCCCCCTCGCCGTCTTCCATACACCAACAAGAGTCTTCAATAACGGTAAAAGTGATGTTAAATGTTCATTTATCCATTTCATTAGTCATTTATATTTATTTCTCATTCTTTTCTGTATGTAAAACTATAGTTATTCTCTCTTAAATGTACATTTTGTTAATATTTTTTGGTCTTTGGAACGGATTAATTGAATTTATATTATTTCTTATGGGAAATATTAATTCAATTTTCGTACAATTCGGTTTTCGTCATACTTTCTTGAACGTATTAATCACGAAAACTGAGGTTCCACTACATTACTATTTAGCTTTATTTTTACTTTGTTCATAAGGTTAGCATGCAGTTGTGCTCTTTGGTAACTGATGAAGAGAGAGAATCACAGGTCTTAAGTATTGCTTGTGTTGTGTTGCTTCTGTAATTTTCTAGCTCATAAAATCAATAAATTACTTGTTCAGAAACTTGATATACAGGTAAAAATCGACCTTTATATTTCAGGTTCATTCAGAGACCCTTTTCAGCAGACTGCCTGTGAGGCTGAAGCATAAAGGTCTTTTATTACCTGTGGTTTAGTTCTGTTCAAGTGTTTTTTTTTTTTTCACGTCTCATCAAACACTGTTCATGACAAGTTAAACTAAGTTTCTAGCTGATAATTTTTTTCCCCACAAAACTTAGAGTTAACAAGTTTATCCAGGAGAACTCTTAAAGCTTGCTTTAAACACTTCACATCTCATATATCTTCATTTCAAGCTCTCTAAGGACAGGAAGAAAACGCTGATTATGCTCGAGGACGGCACCAACCAGGTAGCCCCCAGTGCTTCTATCGCCCCCTCTTTCTCACACATAAGCATCTTGACTGCTTAAGAAAGCATTTATTTATTTGTTAACCTTTAAGAGCAATCTAATTTTCTATTGGTTGAAATTTCTTTTAAAAAGTTGCATAAGAGCGAGTACCATATTGTTTTGCCCTTATGCTGATTGGGTTTCTTTTGAAAAAGAATAAAGAGCAAAGGATGGACCTGGTCTTAAGATTTTACATTGATTTAAAGCCCATTGAAGCACTAAATTTATTTTCAGTGCTATTTACATTATTATTATTTTGCAAGTTTCTGTTCACATAAAAATTAACGTATTCTCTTATCCAGATCCTCTCTTGTAGCCCCTATCTTTTCTTGTAAAAATATTGAATTGTAGTATAGTTCCTAGGGATCTTTGCTTATACAGTTGAGTAAATATTTGTTGTAATTGTACATGGAATATTTTGTTTCCTTGGTGAGTTGCAAAATGTAGGTTTTTCTTTATTTGGGGGTATTGATTTTATTCTAGCCTGCAAGACATTCAGTCTGTTTCTTTTCAAGAGGGATTAGCTTACTATCTCATTTATACTGCACAGTATATTCAAGGGTCTTATTAATACTGATTATTGCTTAATTAAATTGCTTAGTTAATCTCTCATCCATTTGTTGTTATACATTATTAATATCCTTTTATTAAATTCTTCTCTTATATGAAGCAGCCTTGAAAAGGACCACTTTCTTTAGGAAACACTTGTGTATAGTTTCTCTTTCTCTGGAATAAATTTTTGACTTTTATCAAAATATGCATTAAAACTGTCAAGATTTCTATTTTAGTATTGTTTATTTCTGTCTTAATGTTTTGAGAAAGGTGAGTGGTTTTGTGGCATGTTTGCTGCATGTCTTATTCCTACTGAATGTGAATGTATTTTCTCAATATTATGTGACTGTATGTAAATACATTCTTCTCATATGTTTAATACCCTAATATCTGAAGCAGTGGTGTTTGTAATTTTACCATCACATGATAACCATAGTCTGTATATTTGATGGCTAATATATAAATTTTCATAGGTATTTTGTATAAAGTTCTCTTAAATTAGGAATAACATATTTCCTCTTGCAATTGAAAGTATACACTGTACACTCTTAAAAGTATTCAAGGCACTGGATGAGTTACGCCTGACTGTTCACTGTAGCACTCTTGCATATCTTAGTGATAATATTTGTCTTTGTCATTGGCATATTTAATCTAAACTGCATTCATGTTTCAGCACAATGTGCCACAATGTTTCTAGGTCTACTTTCTACTACAGAATATTTTTTCCTGGTTCTTGAGTGTTTATAATAACTTTTTCATATTTCATCATTGTCCCAATGAATTGCTTCTAATTTTGGGTTTAGCAATTTATCCAAAAATTAAAACAATAATACTTTTCTTTCTCAGTAATTCTATATTATATTTTGGTGTGAGTGATGGATATTGAATATATATTTCTGTATTTTCCTCCCCTGATAAAACACACTATGTGATGAGCAAACTTTAATTTACACGTGGTGTTATGCTCTAAGTAGAGCTTTATCAGGATATCTGTTTAAAGTAAAATATGATGTGTGTTCTACTATATTTGATGATTCTTCTGTACTCTCTTCTTACTCTTCTCTACTTTCACATTTCCATTCTCTTTTCATTGTCTTCCTTGTCCATCTTTCCCTACTCTCTGTGTCTTCTCTTTCTCTTCTGCCTTTTTTACTCGCTTTCATCTTTATGCCACTACATTAATTAGCTGTTTATTTTAACTGCTATTTAGTTAGACTCATCTGTCCAGTTAAATTTCCCCTGTAGTTCTCTCTAAGATTAATTCTCTGTTTTATGGTACATGTTATCATTGTCCAGTCTTCTCATTTTGGCTTATTTATTGTCCAGTACTGTATTTAGCGATAATTAACACACTGCATATAAATCGTGTGTATAATTTGTCTATTTTTCAAGGTATCTGGCTCCAGAGGATCAGTGAAAAAATGCTTATATAACTGGTTTTGGTGGTGTTGTGTGGAATATAATTCAGTGAACAAATAGATAATATCTAAAGGAACTTATAGATATATGATGTACATTTTTTTGCAGACTATTGAATCTCTAATGACTGCTAGAGACAGTGTAGGTAAAAAAAATTATCTGAAGTAAATTGTAAGGGTAATTTTTTTATAAATCAATTCTTCTAACAGTTTTTAACCCTTAAACTGTCCGAACATTGATCTACGTTCACTCGCGTAGCACTCTGAACGTAGATCTACTTTTTTTTTTTACATTTGAAAGCATGTAAAATAAAACGTAGATCTACATTCAGAGCGCTACACGAGTGGATGTAGATCTACGTTTGGACAGTTTAAGGGTAAAGAAAGCATGTGAAAAAAAATTGTTACTATAATCACCACTATTGTTTGATGACTAACAGCTCTTTTTTTCAATGCACCAACTAACATATCCATTTGCATAAACCTGTTCACTTCAGTCACTTTTGTGGCTTTATGAAGGTTGTTTAACTAGCTCTCCATAATCCTATTTATATAGTAACAATTAATGCATACACTTATTTGCTAGTACTGTGATGGCCAAAAATTTCACACAAGTCTGTGAATTTGAATTTGAATAATTTTTGTTGGTGTATAATTTAATCATGTAGAAAAACCAAAGTTTTCTCATTTTTGTTTGCTGCTGTTCATAAATGGCACTGTGGGACCTATTATTAACAATACATAAAAGTGACAAGTTGATTAATAAGACGCGTTGGCAACACTTGGGTATCTTTGGTCTTGAAATGTTTTGGGAATAAAAGTATGTAAGTGTTGGAAAAGTGTTATTCATCAATTGTATGACCCACATGGGTTTAGCTCTTTTTTTAAATACAGTACATAATGCAGTAATAGTAAGTGTATGGATTAAGTGATTGTATATACTAATCCTTGTGTGAGAATCCCCTGACCTTATTTTACAGGGAGTTGACAAATACCTGCACAGTGTAAGTACCACCTGCAGCACCTTTGCACTCCTGGCTTCTCCTCGGCATTTTTTTGGGGAAACTTTACTATCTTTTGGTCTAAATTTTTAAAATAAATATTGGCAGCTGCTTGCATAGATTTCTCTAGCTTAACTTTTGTGCATTTCATTTTACTCCTATAATATTTAGAACAGTTGATGTGTAACTCGTTTTACTTATTTTCAGTCATATATTCTCTGGCATTTTTAATTGTATTTTTAGATTTTAATGTGGATATGTCTATATTGTAAAGTGTTAGATACAGACATCTATAATTATTAGATATCTCTTAGTACAAATACCATTATAGTTTTGTTTATTTTTTCTGCTGCTTTGTTCCAGATGATATCTTGAGAGTGCCTGAGTGTGTGTTGATTTGAAAATTATGTTGGGTGTGTGTTCACTAAATGCTGATGATAACTGGTCTGTTATCTGTTAATGAATGGTTCTGGAGATTGGTCTCGTACAGGGTCTCCTAAATTGGACGCAAAGTATTACAGAAATGAGAACATTGGGAAATACAGAAAAATGAAGATTAATGGATATTTGTACTGAATGTAAGATATTGGGAACCTGTCTATTGAAATTCATTAGTACAGCCTCTCAAAACAACAAAAATCATATAAATCAAACATCACTAGCAGATAAAAAAGTAAAATAAATACACAGTACATACAATACTTATTTTAAAATGTAGTGCTGGTTGCCCTTCCCTTATGCAACTGTTATTCAGAAATAGTGGAAAAGTGCTAAAAGCACTGAAACATAATGAGCAATGGCTCCAGTGTTTTCCAGTGGGCAGTGGAGAACAAGATGACGTTCGAAGGTAGTATAAGTTCCAGCTGCTTAGGTTTGGAAAGAATGATGAACTCAAAAGGAACACTGTATACAAAACTCAAGAGGATTGTCAAATAGAATGAAAGGAACATGCGAAAGACTTGGAAATAATTGTGTCAGCTGACCCTTATTTCAAAGAACACAATAAGACAAAGGTCACAACAGCCAGGAGGATGATAGAGTGGGTAATGAGAACCCAAAAGAAGGGAAGCAGTGCCAGTGGTGACACTTTTCAAATTGCTAGTGCTTCCTCATTTGGAATATTGTTCAGTGTTGACAGCCCCATTCAGGGCTGGGGAAATATCAGAGCTGGAACAAATACAGAGATCATTTACGGTTTGCATAGAGCCAATAAAGCTTTTAAATTACTGAGAATGCCATAAAATCTTAAGTATGTACTCACTGGAGAGGAGAGAGATACATAATAATATATACCTGGAAAGTACTCAAGGGCCTGGTCCCAAATCTGCACACTGCCAAAACAACATACTGGAGCAAGAGATATGGGAGGAAGTGCAAAATAAACCCAGTGAAAAGCAGGGGTGCAGTGGGCACAATGAGAGAACACAGTATCAGCATTCGTGGCCCCAGATTATTTAACATCTTACCAGAAGATATCAGAAACACTACTTGAACAAGTTTAGAAGTCTTCAAGAGGAAATTGGACAAGTTTCTTCACCAAGTACCAGATCAACCAGGTTGTGGTGGATATGCAGGGCAGTAGGCCTCCAGCAGCATCAGCCTGATTGATCAGGCTAGCACCAGACGAGCCTGACCCATGGCCGGTAATAGGAAGGCTCTTGAAACTTGCCAAAGGTATATCAACAAAAACATGGAACACTGAAAAGAGGGTGCCAGATATGTAGGGTGCTTCTGTATTTGGTAGAGGTTTGAGAGCTCATTGTGCCCTATGATAATGAGAGTGAGAGTGAACCAGCAGTAATGAAAGAGAATGAAAATGTTTTAAGATTATTTCATAAAATTGTTGTATTTTGAGATACATATTGGGATAGAAGAAAGAATTTACCTCTCTGAATCATCCTAATGTACCTTGAAGCATACCTAGAGCAGATATGTTGAACAGCTAACATTTTGTGGTAGTATTTGAATGCTGCTACTCAGAATTTTAATTTGTATTTAATTTTATGGTGTTGTGTAGTTGACTAGCAATGCCTGACATTTTGATAGACATAAGTAAAAATACAATAACTTAAGCTGATTAGCATGAAAAAACTTGTACATAAAACAGGAACTGAGGTTGACTGCCAAGGCTGCCTGGACCATATTTCTAATTACACTTAAACTCACATTCACATAGCTTTTTCTTGGGTCATCAGGTATAAATATTCTGCTGGCCAGCCTCTCATTCTTCTAGCTAAGTAACTTGCTGTTAGAATGCCACCTTGCATTTGCTACATAATGTGTCATACTGTTTGATCAAGTATTGCACTGTGGTTGTGTGCTTCACTTGGTTAATTAGCTTAAGTTACATTGGGTATGCCCAGTGATAGCAAAGGCTGATCCTTTGCTGTAGTAACTTAAATAACATACCTTTGATGGGTTTCCAGAATTTTCTTACTCTTACAGCCTAGCCCTAGGCCAGGCTTGTCTAACAGGTCAGTTTAGCATCTCACTCTACAGATTATATCATATTCCTATTAATAGAGGGCACCCACATTCTGGCAATTCATTTAATACAGTTATGAAATATAACTTGTAGGCTATACATGTATTCTTTAAATTTGCGATTGTTCATGGAATATGGCCTGGTGGCAAGAGCACTCGCTTCACACGGTGAGGATCCGGGCTTGATTCCCAGTGAAGGGGTGGAAACACTGGACATGTTTCCTTGCACCAGTTGTCTATGTTCACCCATCAGTAAAATGGGTATCTGGGTGTTAGTCGACTGGTGTAGGTCACATTCTGGGACAAAACTGACTTAATTTGCCTGAAATGCTCTGCATAACAAGGGACTTCTATATACTAGTAGTATGTAATTGATGTCAGCTAGGCCTGTATACCTTGTACATGTACTTGTAGTAAATAAAGATATTATTATTATTATTATTATTATTATTATTATTATTATTATTATTATTATTATTATTATTATTATTATTATTATTATTATATTATTATATTATTATTATATTATTATTATATTATTATTATTATTATTATTATTATTATTATTATTATTATTATTATTATTATTATTATTAAGGGAATGGAACCAGTTGTTGCATTCAGGGATTTGGAAAAAGCATGTAACAAAGTGGATTCCACTGTTTAATGGCAAACTTGAGATTCATCTTTCCTCTTGCAAAGTAAAGATAAGATAAAAGAAACGACAAAATATGAAATGAAGTTCATGTTAGAGAGAGAGAGAGCTACAGTAGGTAGCAGAGCCTAGTATCTAGTTTGAGAACGTGTGGATGGTACTGAACGATGTTTACACTTGGCAGTAAATATTACCCAGGAAGTCTTGGTTGCTAACCTCCAGCATTCATACAAGTGTCATTTCCTCCCAAGACAGAGAAAATTCATTTCACTTTATCTGAATCTCGTTTTATAAATTTTTGTTTACTTTTGTACTTATTTTTTTTTTCAGTTCAAGCTGTAAGCTTGGACTTAAATTTATATAGTACAGTAGTGAGTAATTGGTACTCTACATTATTCTATGCCAGCTTTCCTGTTGTAAACTATTTGTGCTATTTGTATTTTTCCAGTCAACATGCAAATATAATTTTTAGTTATGTGACAGTTTTGTATGTTGTACTGTGTGCAGTATTGTAATTAGTTTTCTGTGAATATTTGATTTTAACCCTTAAACGATCCAAACATATATATACGTTCTCTCGCGTAGCGCCCCAAATGTATACGTTTCATTTGTCATTCATTCAACATTGGCACAATAGGCCTGAGTCACCTAGACATGAGAGAATGAGTGTGCGCACTCGGTGTGCACCAAATGAAAAAAATTGGGGATGCCTGGGTACCACATGCTCTTTTTTTCCTATAATTTTTTTTTTTTTTTTTTCAAAATATTTGGGGCGCTACGTGAGAGAAAGTATATATACGTTTGGACCGTTTAAGGGTCAATTGAAGATTGTTTATATGAAATGTCATTATGACATTGCCACAACATTCCATTATTTTATCCGAACCTCTCTTCAAGAGGATGGGGGATAGGGGTACCTTGATGTTGGTGAAAAGTTCTTGACCCCAAGACTTGGAGCTCCTCCCATGGTATTACTTCTAATGTCACTGGCATTGTATAGTG